ATGCCTGGGATTTGCAAAATAATTAAGGATACTATAGCGGTATTGGTTGATATTCGAGTCGGAAATTAAGTGTTTGGACAATATTGGCATCTCGATATCGGCAAAAAGTTAATATCGGACATCCCTACTTATTAGGCTGCGTCTATGTTAGACTTTAAAACCCACTTTATAATTCATGATATGATTGGTTTTTAAAGTACACTCTCACTGATTTCGCCCTGTTCTTCTTCCAGACATCGTCGGATCCAGATGCTGCAGGATGGAGCTTCCCTGAAAATGAAACCCTCCAGTATTTTCTCTTCCTAAATCTTTGACCTCTCCTCACCCAAAGCGGAATTAAAAACTTATAAAAAAAATAAAAAAATACAACAGACAGAGGACAGAGACGTTGGGACGCTCCGGAGTCTCTCCATCATGAGACCCTCTGTTTCCGCCGCTCCTCCATCAGGACTTCTGCTGGTCCTGATGTGCTGCCCCCTGCTCGGTCTGGTGCAGTCAGCCGGCGCCAGGAGCAACAGCAACAAAGCCAGCGATAAAGGACACATGCACCTGGGAGACTCTGAGAGATGTATGAGGCATCACTTTGTGGAGACCATTACACACCCTATTTATAAATGTAACTCCGAGGTGAGGCCTGGAACAAAAAAAAACGCACACATATACATGGAATTCATTTGGAATGGAAGAGCAACGTAACTCCATTTTCACCGTTAAATTCACCGCAAACCCACATGCTATACACGACTACCTATGTCACTTAGCATGGGCAAACTATGGCCCGGGGGCCGGATGCGGCCCGTTTTGCTTTTAATATTATCGTCATACTTCTGCCTTTTCCCTGCAATGCCCGCGTTTCTCCGTTTTAGCCTTTACGACTTTTTACATGTCATTTGTTTTAGTTCATACCAAGGCTCCATCGATCTGCTCCGGACGTGGCAACTGCGTCAAATTTTAAGACCCCATTATGGCCCGCGAGTCAAAACGTTTTTCCCACGCCTGGTCTAGGACGTAAAAACATCGGGGAAGAGTTTGATTTACGCCTGGGAGACAGGATGAAGAAGGCAGAAGGTTCCCTAGAAAAACAATACAAACGTACGCCCATGTATGGCATACAACAAGCTGCCCAAAATGTAAGCAAACATCAGCGTGTAGCGCTGCATGACAACATATTCGTGACGCGCGAATTACCAGAAATCTTTGATGATGATATACGATAGCGAATACTTACTCGGCAAATGTTTCAATACTGAAGCTAATACGGATAATTGGCGCGATGTTCTTTAAGCCATTAAAACTGTCAGTAGTCATTTAACCTAACAGATGTGGAAGTGGGTGAAAGTTTTCCATGAATGATTTATGAATTGGGTATCGATACTTTATGAGTAACTATACTTGACTGACTATCAAGTATAGAATCAATACTCAAAATCGCCATTAGCAGCTAGTTCCTGTGCGAAAATGTGCTTTAATACTGTAAATTTATGGTAGATGGCGACATGACCAAGAAACCTTGCGTTAAGATGAAGACGGTATTCATTTACATTTATGCATTTTCGAGACACTTTTATCCAAAGATCCTCTAGGGATCGAACCCAGGACTTTCTGCTTCCGAGGCAAGCATGCTAACCGCTACATTATGGAACCATTAATCCCATAACTTGGATCTTCAGTTGTTATAGCAGCAGGATAGACACGTAGTAGTACCACAACCAGCAGGGTAGACACGAGGTGTATTCCAATAAAGTGACCATTTCCATTAAAAGTTATAGCGTAGCTTTGTACAATCCATGAATCGATTGTCATATATTTTCTCTTGAGTCACGTGATACACTCACTACCTGGTCTTTAATCCCGACCAATTAGGCGTGGATGTTACCACGAGTGGGATATTCACGCACAGACACGTATAGGAACAGAGCTGCTCCCGCTGGTCTTATTAGTGCGGTGAGCGTGTGCTCCTCATTCCTGTGTGGGTCACTGACATTCCTGTCACCTCTCTAAACAGACCTCTGTGTCATGTCTGCTGTCAGCTGCTGTGTGTCGCCACGCCGTTCACTAAAGCCCGTCTGGGGCCGAAACACACACACACACGTCAGCGGTGTTGTCGCCACTCTAAGTCCATTTGTCTTCGTCTAACTGAGGATCAGAACATGACCGCTGTGATTTCTGCTCCTCCTCCTCTTCCTCCTCCTCCTTTAGTCAGATTAAAAGAGAAAGTGTAGGATGTGATAGATAGATAGATAGATAGA